AGAGAATCAATTTGATTATAAATGAGTATCAGTCAGGAGACTCAAAATTTTATTAGTCTGGACTAAATTTTATCAGAAAAAAGACAGTCTAGAGTAAATTTTATTAGAAAAATTTGATTTTTGCACTTAAATTTTATTGAAATACAGTTACGGAATTTTTTTCCGATATTTAAAGAATTTCTAAAAATAATTGAAGTGATTTATAATTTCTTAAATTTCATGAATCATAACTATTAATTATAAGAGTTGTTAAGTGCTAATAGAATTGGAAATTATTCGGAATAATGCTTATTATTTCGGTAACAAAATGACTTTATTTTCAAGTTGAAAATATTTATGAAATTTCATGCAAAAAAAATATGATTACTGATTCTTATACGAGTACATACAATAAAGTAAAATATCCCAAAGTTTTAGCCACAAAAATATTATAATTTTCCATTTTTTATAATCCTCAAATCACAACTTTATTCACATGTCCAAAATAACAAAATACCAAATATAAATTTTGTAGTAATTTTTATATTTTTATGCATAATATACTTATATATTATAATATCACATTGTTATTTTTTATATAATATATGTATATATATATATACATATAGACAATATGTATATAAATATATATAACTTTTCAAAAAATGTATACGATATACACTTATGTATTAATAATAATATAATAAAGTATGGTTTTTCCCTTCATGCAAATCAAAAAAAAATCTTATACACCATCATATTATGAAAACCAATTATATACGTTAGTATTTTCCATATTTTACTATTTTCCATATTTTATAGATTTTTCTATATATACGCTATGTATGTAAATAGGGAACAGGCGGAGCAATTTTATATTCATATTCTTTAAATATGAATTGAAATTGGGGAAAATGCGAAAAGGATTCAATATAAATATTGTCATTTTTTTAAATTTTTATACATACATGGGTACAGGCAATAAGGATTTGAAAAGTTTATATTGAAAAAATTCTTATTAACTCAAATGTTATTTTTGATATTTTATTGTTATTATAGAAGAGGAAATTTCAATAGATCATGTACTAGAAATATGTTATGTATAGTACAATTGATGATAACTATATAGTGTTATACAAAAGTGTTTGGTATAAAATAATGAAATGAATTTCTAATGAAAAGTAATCTGTCATATAAAAAAAAATATTTTAAAATAATTTTAGTATAAAATCCTATGTCATACAAGTATTAAGAATAGATTTTTTGTCTTCTTGGTTATTATGTGCTATTATAATTGTATTAAGCATTAAAATGTACCCATACTACGAAGTTTTTATTAATTTGTCAGAATAAAATCAAACAAGACCTCATATACAGAAAGTACATATACACAATATTATACAGTATCTATACACAATATTATTTGAAGGATTGGTTTCACTCAATTTATTTCAATTGATTTATTTCAAGTGTTACTTTTTGTTAATTAAATTTAGAGAACTTTGCTATGTATGTGCAGGAAAGTTTTAATTTACAAAGAAATTGTATACTTTTAATACTATAGTATATTATTATGTGGCTATAAAGTTATAGCAATATAATTATAACTTATTAATAATATTTCATTGCTGAAATGAAATACGATTTGCTCGAAATGTCTATAATAATGAAAACTAGATGAGTACAAGATATTTTTTATGTTTTCAATTTAAAATGGCTAAAATATCTCTCAGATTACATCAATATTTTTGTTGTTATATGAAGTTATACTGGAATGCAAAATCATTATAGATACCTACTACAATATACATCAAGGACATAACAAATTTTTAGTTAGAAAATTTATACGTTTATTTAATCATTTGCTTATTTTATATAACTGAAAATTTCACATTGCCTATAATATGGAAGAGACCAAATTCTTCAATAATTTTGACCTCACCTAAGATTTTCCATTAAGAAAATTTTACTATAAAAATTTTTGAGAAATATATTTGAGAATTAAATTTTTTTTCAAAGTAAAATTCCTCCAATATTATGTAAAACCGCGAAGGTGATTTATCTCTTGAGATTTAATCAAATATGAACATACATCTATTCTATTGATTTTTCTTGCCCCAGAGAAAAATCGAAGAAAACCTGTTGTATACAACAGAAATATTTTCCATTTTCTATTTCATTAAACTCTTCGTCATTTACACAATGTCATTTACAAATCAAGATGGCAAAAAAATTGTGAAATGACCTACAACTTTATATTTCGAAAAGGCGCATGTACATGGTTGGCGTACATACATGGGTACAGGCAATAAGGATTTGAAAAGTTTATATTGAAAAAATTCTTATTAACTCAAATGTTATTTTTGATATTTTATTGTTATTATAGAAGAGGAAATTTCAATAGATCATGTACTAGAAATATGTTATGTATAGTACAATTGATGATAACTATATAGTGTTATACAAAAGTGTTTGGTATAAAATAATGAAATGAATTTCTAATGAAAAGTAATCTGTCATATAAAAAAAAATATTTTAAAATAATTTTAGTATAAAATCCTATGTCATACAAGTATTAAGAATAGATTTTTTGTCTTCTTGGTTATTATGTGCTATTATAATTGTATTAAGCATTAAAATGTACCCATACTACGAAGTTTTTATTAATTTGTCAGAATAAAATCAAACAAGACCTCATATACAGAAAGTACATATACACAATATTATACAGTATCTATACACAATATTATTTGAAGGATTGGTTTCACTCAATTTATTTCAATTGATTTATTTCAAGTGTTACTTTTTGTTAATTAAATTTAGAGAACTTTGCTATGTATGTGCAGGAAAGTTTTAATTTACAAAGAAATTGTATACTTTTAATACTATAGTATATTATTATGTGGCTATAAAGTTATAGCAATATAATTATAACTTATTAATAATATTTCATTGCTGAAATGAAATACGATTTGCTCGAAATGTCTATAATAATGAAAACTAGATGAGTACAAGATATTTTTTATGTTTTCAATTTAAAATGGCTAAAATATCTCTCAGATTACATCAATATTTTTGTTGTTATATGAAGTTATACTGGAATGCAAAATCATTATAGATACCTACTACAATATACATCAAGGACATAACAAATTTTTAGTTAGAAAATTTATACGTTTATTTAATCATTTGCTTATTTTATATAACTGAAAATTTCACATTGCCTATAATATGGAAGAGACCAAATTCTTCAATAATTTTGACCTCACCTAAGATTTTCCATTAAGAAAATTTTACTATAAAAATTTTTGAGAAATATATTTGAGAATTAAATTTTTTTTCAAAGTAAAATTCCTCCAATATTATGTAAAACCGCGAAGGTGATTTATCTCTTGAGATTTAATCAAATATGAACATACATCTATTCTATTGATTTTTCTTGCCCCAGAGAAAAATCGAAGAAAACCTGTTGTATACAACAGAAATATTTTCCATTTTCTATTTCATTAAACTCTTCGTCATTTACACAATGTCATTTACAAATCAAGATGGCAAAAAAATTGTGAAATGACCTACAACTTTATATTTCGAAAAGGCGCATGTAATAAAAAAAAAATATTTTTTTTTTTATTGAAATTATTGAATTTGAAATTTCAATGAATCAGGATATTTTTCTTTTGAAAAGTTGATTTATGATGACATATCTTGATTAAAAAAAAAAAAAAGAAAATCAATATAAAGGATTCAAGGGAAATGAGAAACAACACAAAGAAAAAAAAAAAAATAAGGAAAAATATGTTATGGAAAGGTTTAATTTTTTTTTTATTTTTCTATTTAAATTTTTTTTTCTCTATTAATTCCACCTTGTTATTTTCCGCACCTATTGTTCTTATCTAAGCAAAACATTTAAGACCATTAATCATGTTTTAAAACATTCAATTTTTTCTTCTTAATCATGAATAATTTTTTTTTTCTTTTAAAAATTAGGTTGGTAATAAATTAAAATTTTAGATCTACTTGTCTTAATTTGACATAATTTGTTTACTTCAACGAGTATTTTTTGTTTTATCTTTTTTTTTGTAAGTAATTAATTGAAAAGAATATTTTAATGAAGTATTTTAGTAATTTAACAATTATATAGAGAAGTTTTAAGTATATCCACTGGTATTAAATATACAAATAGGAGGCGGGAGCCAGTAGAAAGCATAAAACTATTTTTGTATACATTTGGACCAAAATTATGTGAATACTAAGTTGTTTACAATTTAAAACATTGAAATAATGCAAAAAATAAGGCATTGGAATCCCAATCTATTACTAGAATCTTTAAAATTTTGGTTTTTAAAGAATTGATATTTAAGGTTTCTAAAAATTTCACACAAAGTTGAGGGGTTAGGGAAACTAAAAAAATTAAAAAAAGTAAAAATTTAAAATTTTCGAAAATTCGAATGATTCGTATTCGGAAACTGCTTCAAATACGAAATCAAGTAATATGTTTCTTTCTGGTTAGCCCTCATTAGCAGTCATTTAAAGGTTCTATCATTTTTGGAACGGAATTAATAAGCAAAATACCTTTTACAAGTATAGAAATTTTCGTGAAAATTCGCTAAAATCCTTGTAACTCGGAAACAGTTAAAATTTCGCAGCTAATTCCAAACACAAATTTTACTCATTTTTGATGCCACAAAGAGTGATACATAATATTGTAGTCTTAACTGAATCACTCTGTATATCAATTTTTTCACTGGTTGATTTTAATTAATTTGCTGACGTTAGTACGAAAAAGTATGTTTATCATATAAGTTCTCAACTATTTTGGAAATGCAATCATTATTAAAAAATTATAGCTAACCTTTCAGATATTAAGAGTTAATATACAAACAGATTCTTGTTCTTACATTTAGGAAAAATTTCTACATTCAAAAATTATACAAAAATCTAATTAAATTTTATACAGCAAATTTTTTTATTAATTTTTCACAGTAAAAAAAATTTAAAAAAATTTTTTTTTTAATTTACAGATGATTCTGTTGATGTTACTTCTGAACCAGATGATCAAGAAGTTTCTGTAGCAGCGTCACATAATCCTAACAAAGGTCAATTGGAAGTCCAATTGGGTGGTGCAGTAACACTGCAATGCCCTCAAGGTAAAATATTGCATATATTTCTTTTTTAAAAAGGAAACTAAAGGAAAAAAGTAAAAAGGAAAATTCATAAAAGTTTTTTTTTTTGTTTTCAAATTTTGAACAACATTTTTAGAGTATCCTTTTTCAATAAAATAATTTAATATTTTAAGATAAAATTGTGTTATAAATTATTCCTTACAATTTTGTTTTTCCTTTAACTTCGTACTTTTGAAATTTAATTTCCTTTTTCGGTTATTTTGTATAATATCCTGTATCACTAACTGTATCTAAGGTGAAGAAAATTTTATATGAGAACTTTAAATCGCTTTTGACTTTCAATACATGCATTTGCATATAAAATAAAATTCTATATGGAAATTTTTAATTTGACTGAATAAATTTTATTTTTTAGGTTCCTTAGGTTGCTGGTCACATTTGGATCCAGTAACCGCTAGGTTACGAGGTTTAGGTAATGGTTTATCAACACCAACTGGACAATTTTCATTAAAGGATGTTGTATATCAGGATGCTGGAACATATAAATGTATCGGTCAATCGACAACAAATAAAAAGAAATTAGAAGTTTTACAAACAGTTGGTTTAACAGTAAAAGGTAAGTGAATAAAATATTTAAGCATATTTTTAAAAAATTTTATAATACAGATAATTCAAGCTATCAAGCTCCAAATTGTTATTTAATTTTTGAAAATGAAACTCGAACTTATTTTTATTAGAACTAGTACATGATATCGTATATAGCTATGTCCTAGTTTTTCGCACGAGTTTTTAACTATTGGTGGGTAGACTAGCCTACCGTAATTTTACTTTATATTAAATATTTAAGGTTTCTGATGTTTATTGTTTGATTTTGCTCGTAGTTCAATATAAGATACTATGGAAATGTGGTCATTAGTTGATATTTATTTATTATTTTATACATATTTCGTATTAAGCTATATAATATTGAATATAATTTTTATAGTGACCTGACCAGGCTTTGAGCCTGAGACTTTTCGGTAAAATAACTGGTACAATATGACCACTGCGTTATTGATCAGGTGCAAAATAGTAGAAATACTCTATTTTCATCATAAACAATTCTCAAATTTTAAAACATGAAATGAAAATAGAAAATATAGATACATAGAAAAATTTTTTTCATTTGGATGAAAACCGGGTGAGGTTCAGAAGATGAAATAGTGTTTGTTTTTTTATTTTATAAATTTATTCTATTAGTTTTAAGATTAAAGAAATTTCTCATTAAAATTCTGCTAATTTAAAAATTTAAATTTTTTAAAATATTTTTTAAATCTTACATAAAGTATCATGGAAATTCTTATGCACATTATCATAACCTTAACAATAACCCTAAATATTTCATTAAAATAAACATTTAATATTAAAAAAATAAACTATGTATGAACAGATTTTCTATATTTACTACACTATAGAAAAAAAATTGAAAAAAATCAATTATTCACAATTTGTACATATATAGTACATAGCTTTATTAATTGATTTTCCAGGCGGTGTATCTTTCTAAGAGGGTTATATAAGAATTTCAATTAAGTATAAAAGAAAGTCATCTATCAATAAAAAAACACAAAAATAAGAAAACCAAAGAAAAAAAATAGAATTTTCTACTCTTGCTTTATTGAAAAACTTTTCAAAAGAACTGATTTGTTTTTCATTCTCTAACAAGAGCCAAAATAAAAAATGTACATAATCTTATATACTCTTTAGTACATATTAAGTATTATAGCTAATAATAATATTTATACAATGAATATATTATATTATATAAGTATGTTATTATCTTTTTACATACACACACATACACGAACGATTTTTATAAAAAAAAAAATATTTCAAATCATAATATTAGATCGTCTCTTTTATCCCTTCTTATATACGAGTATATTGTGTGTTTTAAGTGCACATATTATGCACATTGTGCATATGCATGCACTCTTCAACATCAAGTACATAATTTAAGTATATATTCAATATATTCATTTCCCTTATAATATGTATGTACTTAAAATCTCGTAAGTCTTAGACCCCATTTTACAATTACTCATTAACTTTATCATCAGAATAATTCATCTTTATATCTTAAATTATTTCAAAGGGGTACTCTTCCATGTATGTACGTAATATGCGACTGTATAATTATATATATATAAATATATATATATATATATATAATTGTAACAGTATACTATAATGTAGATACGTCAATATGGTTTTGTGTTTTTTCAACTATCATTCACATGTCTCTTTAGTACCACTTGTTCTTATCAACCATCTTATAGTATTAATTTATATTATGTGAATATTATTATGTATTTTAGTTAGAAAAAAAGAATATAAAAAAAATAAAAAACGTAGATACTCAATGGGCATCCTTGCTTTTTCTTTTATTCACTTCTTTTATTTTTTATTTTTATTTTTGTTCTTTTTTTTATTATTATTCCTGGTTTCTTCTTTTTATTGTAAAAACAGTGTGTGTCATTAAAATACTTCGATTTCGGTATGTTAATAATTGTGTTAGTGCATTATTAATAAAAAATTGTCACATACATTTACGTATTTTCCGAAATTTTTTCTTATACTATATTCCGATTGTCATATTTTCTGTACCAAAGTAGGGCTTCGATTTATACTAAAGACATACTAAGAATATTATGCAGTTATAAAGTCGTAAATGCAACAATCTGCCAGTTCTAAAAATATTTTGACTTTGTCTTAACACTGAATCACACGACACGAAGGGAACACCAAAAGCATGCTTTGTATTCATAAAGAAGAGGGGGTTATCATTCGTGCATATCCCGACTTACAAATCCAATTTTACCTACTCATATTTATTGATCAAAATGTCAATGGAATAGGTAATTTGAAATGAAAAATTTTTTTTCTCCAATTTTTTTAATCTAAAACATCAAAAACGGGACAATTTACATTATGCATTAAAAACACATGTTAACTGCATTTCGTATATCACATATATGTATCAATGTACATTACATACTTTATACACTGATTGCAGTTTTCAATTGCAATTTTATATACATTAGATTTTGTTATTTGATTTTCCTTTATATACTTTGTTTATTTCTTAAAGTTTTCCTTATTGCAAGTGGATTATTTTATTTATTTTTTTTCCCTCTATTTTTTGTTTTTATATTTTGTTTTTCTTTTCCTTAAAGAATTTAAGTTTTTACAATGATTTTTGATGATGCTCTTCTTTCTCTCTTATACAATTATATTTTAACTTGACTATATACATTATTGCTTATAATAACCATATTTTATCACCAAAGCATAACATGTAACTATATGTATATGAAAATCTAAGTGTGTGTTGTATAAATGCAATAATATTAAAGCGGAAATTTTCAATCATTTTCATTGTCACCTCTTCAGAATGTTGTCAAAGATTGACATGAATCCTTTTTACTATAGTAGTATATAAATAAAGAATATAATTTTATGTTATATGGGTTTTGTATAAGGATAACAGGTTATAAAATTTATTCTGTATTTTGATATTAACACTTAACTTTAGATTTTTAGATTATATTACTATCATAGCTAGTTCTGATACACATTATTGTACTTTAATATTAAAAAGAAGTTGTTTTTTTTTTTATGTTGTAGTTTTTTGAAAATTTTGTTTATTTAAGAAGTCAAATTGTTTGATACATGATCGTAAATCAATCATAATTTATTTTATACGATGAAGTGTTCTTCAGGTGCACTTTTGATATTATTATATTTTTAAATTGATATTAGAGATTTATTTAAGTGTTATTTGGTGTATACAATAGTTTACTGAGGTTTTGAAAAAAAAAAAAATTTGGCGTATACTTCATTGTATAAAAAAGTGTGATAATAGATGAGGTCGTATCTTATTATATTCAAGAAATTCTGGATAAAATTTCGAATATTCTTCATTTACATAAAAGAAATACCCAATTTTTTTTAGAAAAGTTTGAATTAGAAAAGATTTTTTTTTTTAATAAATTGCTGCAAAATTTTATCAACAATATATTTTTATTTGTTCTGTTATCGTAAAGCCTAATGACAATTAAATTTTAAATTAACAAATAGAAATGATTTATTCATATTTTTAACACTCTGCTTTAAGATAAACTATAGTTCTAGACCAACTATTCGGCTTCAATAGACTGTTATAAACTATAAAATTATTAACTACATGTTCTCATTAAAATTCGATATTGTATTATTCACAATATATGATTTACAAATTTTTAAAAGTGTATGTATTTATGGCAACAGTTTTATTGATTTTATTCCAAATTCTAAATATATTCGGTATAAATTTCATATAGCTTCTATACAATTGCATCAAAAACTGACAAATTTAATATTTTATTAGAACAAATTTTGTTTTTTGAATATTGCATTGCTGTAAATATTTTTTAAATGTATCTAAGCAAAAATTTTATATCATATTCTTTTATTTGGAATTTTTAACTAGTATTTGACATTTAAGTAAAATGGAACAATAGCAAGTTACTTAGAAGATGGAACAATAGTTTACAATCATATTTTTTAAGAACCATGATTTATTTTCATTAAATACTGTTTTCTATAAGCAGTTCTCTACTACTGCCTTATAGAATATAGTAGGTAGAATAAATTAAATTTTTAATAATTTTTACTCATATAATATGAGTCATTTATAAAAATGTGATTTCTACACATATATACAATACTGTTATATGAAAATTACTAAAAAACATTTTTTATTAAAAATTTCATTGAATTTTTTAAAAATCTATGACAGGAGTATAGACAATATCAGAATTGTTCAATTTTTTATTTTAATAAATTATGAATTACATATAAAATTATTGCAGTATAAAATGTTCTAACTAGCTATATGGCAATTTTTCATATACGTACCTTAAAACCATTTTTTATAATATTCATAAAAATAGAAGAATAATGGAAAGAGCAACAAATTTTTCTCTATATTTTTAATTTTCTATATAACATTTTTTATGAAAGATTACATTTTTTATAGAGATAAGCATAAAAAACAAAGCTTTCCGAACAGAAAATAAAAATTGGTTATTTGTTTGATAAGGAAAAAAAAATTTGAATTAAAAAAGAATTGAGTAACAAAAATATTGAATTTTCTCTCTCTAATAATCTATAACATAATAAAATGTTAATATTTTAAATTTTATAACTAACAAGTGCATTTGAAATTAAAGTGAGTAGGAGAAAAATCCACTGGAATTACCAACTAAAATAATAATACACACCAAAATTTGTGACATTTAATTCAAAATAATTACCTAAACCGTTTACAGTTTGCTAATCCAAAAAATCATCTTTAAGCAGATATTACGAGAAAACTGTAGGTCTGACTTCAATCATTGAAATTATCTACTGTTATACAAGTCTATTAACAGTGAATAAGAATTGTGAACAATATATAATTTTAGCATCAACAGCCTAGAAAGTATTCCAAATAATTATAAATATTTTTCATACTTTTTTGATGATTATTTTGCTAATTTCAGAAAATATAGACGTACATATACATTTTTGTAGTTTGTGATTGGTTTTCTATTT